AGCTTTACGATGACAAGGCTTTTCAATTTTATATAGAAACATTAAGACTTTTACCTTATTAAAGGTCGATATTGGTAAAAAAATGGTGTCTGTGTTTGTTTTTTCTTTGTTACAATAAATACAAAGACAGCTCATATAAATTAGAAATATGTAAAAAGAATATTATAATCTTCTTATATTTTCTTATATTTCTTTTTTAATATCTTGTATTTCTATATACAAGATTTAGTACTTTATGGACAATAACAAAAGGCCTAACAGAGGTCCTAATATAGGATTAGATATATTTTTAGGATTAGATATACTTTTCTGCAGGAAAAAAAAATTGACAAATCAGGGTTAACTCAACCACATTCTTTAAAGCAAATTTCATTTAAAAGATATATTTTAAATAATATATCCGAATATAGGTAAGAAAAATTTATAATTTATTAAGATCAATTTTTGTTACTGTACGAAAAAATGTATTTGTATCATGAAGAATGAATAAAATGAAAGTGTAAGGAAGCGCATGAAGAAACAATATATCTACACTTTTGCATAACATGCCGATAAAAGTAAGTTTCACCTAAATGAATCTCAAACTGTCTTTCAAGTGAAATTTGCTTTAAAGAATACGATTGAGTTAACCCTGAAGTGTCAATTGTTTTCCTGCAGAAAACTCTATAAGTATATTTAACTCTATTACACACCTTTTGCATGCTATTGTCTATAAAGTACTAAATCTTGAAAGTAACATCTATCACATTCTGTAACAAATATGTAACAGAATATTGGCAGAATTCTTATATTGCGTAATTTGTAAAATTTTTAGTAATTTATTATGTTAAAATTGATTTATTGTAGTTTTCTATATAATGGAAATTAATGTTTTCAATTTCTTTCATCAAAATATTTTCACTGAAAATGTCATAAATTACTTAAGCCTTGCGTTAAACATAAGAAAAGCAACGTTTAAAATAGAAAAGGAATTTAAAATGTATAGGAATTACAGCTGAATTTTAAAGAAGTTTTTCATAATATTTCAAAAATATTTTGTAATGTAAAATTTAAACATCTTTAATACAAAAATTATTTCATGTAATATAAAATAGAACACACTTTTCTAACAAGAAATAAATAAGATATCTGAGTAATAAGTTGCGAGATTGTCTAGATTATTATATATAATTAATTTACCACTAAAAATATCTATTTTATCACATAAATTATATCCCTATTCAATTTTCCTTTTCATTCTTTAAAATACTTTTCAGTAAACTAAGTTGAAAGAACTGATATTACAGGATATGAAGGGTTAACCTTTTCATAATATTTCTACCAGGAAAATAATGATCGCTCTAAATTCTATCAAAATAAGGCAAACTCTTTCGCCACAGGATTAATGTTAATTCTTTGATTAATCATGTGTATGATACACGTTTTATATAAATCTATTATCAATAATAATTTAAGTCTTTTTCTATACTTTTTATCATTTCTAGAGATTTAGTATTTACTTAATTAAATAGATAGTGTATAATAAAGTAAAATAAAATATAATAAAAAAATATTAATATGGTTACATAGAAAAAAACTACAGAAAAATATCGAAAAAATGTTTCCTGTTAAAAATTCAGAAGTTTTCGATTTATTACATCGACTGCATCAATTCTTCTATATGAAATTCTTTTAATTAATTTTTTTAATTGAGATTTTTTCATGTCCTTGCAGCATTCAAAAAAAATATAGAATGTCTCGACATATTTATTACAAACTACATCGAGAATATAATCTTTTTTTTTTCGATATATATTTATTAGCCTACAATTTTTTTTTCCTTTACACTTGTCGATATGGTATTTACGAAGCGTTGCTTTTCAGATTTATTTTTACTGTCAGCTCGAAAAAAATACGACCTTGCTTGTTACATGCCATCATACTGTGACTTGTTGATATGAAACATTTGCGCGTCCTCGAAAAAATTCCTTCGTTTTTTTCGTTGGACCATTTTCGCTTCTGGCTACGCGTCATCTCTTTTTGTATTACAACCATCAGACAGACGACAACCGAGTAAAAAAATGCCTATCGAAAAAATCAACTTATTTGGAAGCAAAATCGGAAGCGAGTTCCCAATATAAAAATTTATAGCTAGCTACGATATAATGCGACATAGCACAAAGCAGACCAATTTTAATCTTCTTCAAAGGGCACCGGATTATTCATTTAAAAACAAGTTTTGCGTGCGCTCATCGTGACCGTAGATACTCGCGTGCCAGATTTCTCGAGATATTCAAAACGTCAGAAGTGCAATTCTTCTTAACACGAGAGTCACAAATTTTGGTGGCGCAAACTATACATGCCATTTCGATCCTATCAATGTATATCCGGCTGGCCTCTCGATTGGCCGCCTCGAGCAAGTTATAAAACTCGCACGCACTGTACGCCTCTTACAATACATACGCATATTCACTGACTGACAGCCCAACAATTTGCCAGCTATTATCGGATAAGCAAATAATGCCAAAAGCAATGATTCAGAAATGACCGTTAATTTCCTATGTGGAGTCATTTTGCTACCGCGACCAATTACCACATGTTCGTGTGCTTTTCAAAAATTACTGCTGCATTCTTAAATTCAATGAACGTCAACGCCTCGAGCTGACGAGCGTCGAATAATGACAGAAAGACCGAGATTCGTAGCCTAATTGCGCGAGTTCCGTCTGGCGCGGTGTATCGCGTGGAATTCCCTTCCATTCCTTGCATGCTTAGAAGCATATTCGGATCGTGCAGTCGTCATAAATTATCGCAAAGCGTGACTACGTGTGCATTCACCCGTCATTCTCTTGCGGCTAAAATCCTTACGGTTGAGTCAAAGCGATTTTGCATCTCATGAATTCCTCCAAAGATCCGAACTGCACGCATCAAAAGCGATTTCATATTTAAAACGGCTCTCAGAATTTAAAAGAAAAAAGAACGGATGTCTTAAAATTCTTTTTTCTTTTAAATACTTTTTTCTTAATAATACGTGTCTCTCAATATCAGTGAAAATGTTTTATTTTCACTGGTGTCGAGAGACACGTATTACTTGAGAATACAATCGTGAGGAAACCTGTAAGAATTTGTGTCTAAGATATCTAATAAAATCCACTGTTAATTCTCAACCCACGCATTGGCCGCACCTGCGATAGAAGATATCCAGCGAAGAGAAGCTATATAGGAACTGAAAGCAAGCAGGTAGTTAGAGGATCGACTTTCTCGATCGACGGAGATTGCCGCAACGCGCGGACAATTATAGTTTTGTCGCGATGGGAAGTACGAGGAAGGCGAAAACCGAGAGGAAAAACGGAATGAGTAATGCGAGGGTACTACCGTTGGCGAAATCAGATTGTTGCGCACTGCAACAAACTGGGGTGCTTTTGCTTGTTGCTCGGCTTCTTTATTTTTGTTGGCTGGTGTAATAAAGTACGGGTGAGCGAGAGGGCTCGCGGACCTCTAATCTGATATCTCGACGGAAGGGGAGCGAATATTAATGTTCGTTTGCCGCGAGCAAAGCCGATGCCGCCTCGCGAGCGCTTTTATGCGGCCAACACCGGCCCACGGGCCCCACATAATGCCCCGGCACCCTATAAAGCTAATGAGTCACGCCGAGTTCACGGAGGCCGTAGGTCTCCCCGGCAAACAGGTGCCGCTGTAACTACCGGGATACTCGAGTGTAAGCAACGTTCATCATGTACGTTAATCTCAACCTTTTATACCCCCACTGTTTGCATTGCAAAACATTTGTGTGATCTCTATCAAACTTCCGTTGAATTTATTCTCATATCTAAAGAGTGCAAATCGCGTAACGCTTATCATGAGAATATATCATACAAATGACGCAAATAGAAATTGTGCATTAACACGTGATATATCGGTTGATAACTGATATCGCGTATGTGCGGTAGCAATCAGTTTCCGTCTGAATTCAAGAATAATGAAATTCATAAAAGATCGCAGTGTGAACTACCGCATATACTTGCATATACTTACATAAATCTTACCGAAGGCTACGACATGCGATAAAGAGGAACGTAAGTTCCTTGACCGAGATACTATTCATCTACCAACATTTCGCCGACTGTTAGTTATCGCTTGGGTATGAATTAGTGCGTTGCTTGTTAGAGCTTATCGGTATAGGCCTACGTAAGCTGGTGCGAATGTCGTAGAACGATCGTCTCGAAAATTTACAAAATTTATTATACTATAATCTCTCTCCTTCTCTCACACACACACACACACACACACACACACACACACACACACACAACGAAAAATTGAAGAAAGAATAGAACTGTCTCAATTATTGATGAAATACTAAAAGTATTACAAAAATTTTAGACAATTTTTTTTAAATTTAAACAGTTAAAATAATTAAAATCTAAGAAACAATCAATAAATCTCTTTTATCGATATACATAATTCAATTTTTCCACATTAGTTCATTTTCTAGCAGCTCTCAATTTTTTATTATTGCTCAGCTCAGCATGCGAGCCTTCGTTGGTCCAGCGAAAAAACCTGCAGCATTTACCGATAGATGGAAGCACAATGTCTAGTGAATCTCGTTGCTTTAAATCTATACTAAATTTAAAAGACTAGAAAAAATGCATTATCTAATTACCCATTTTATCATATTCAGATCTTAATATTAAGAAATAAATATTGTTATGTCATAGAATTAATTAAAAAAATTATTCGCCAATCACTAAGTTATACGCAATCTTACATTTTACTTATAATCTTAAAATGTGCAATTCTAATCTTAAGATTTGTGCAAAAACTCAAATACGAATTAATCTAAATTACTTCAACAATTGAAATTCATATATTATTATAGTCACAATTTCTACCTATCTCTATATATTTTTAAAAATATATTTATTATCATTAAATTAATTTGTTCGATACTTTCAAATCTAAAAAATATTTTATTTAATATAAAATTAATTAATTAAAAAAAAATGATAATCACAATTACTCTTTATAAATTGCAAAAGAACGATTTTGTATAATTTTATTAGAAAAAGATACATCGAGTTACACGACAGTAGTGCATATAAATTCCTCGATCTCTCATCGCACGTCTCTTCTTCCTCATAATCGCCACCGCCACCCCCACGCACATCTCTCTGAAACACGTTCTAGCTCGGGATCCACGCGCCTGCACTGCTCGAGCGCTCAAAGTCGAATGACGATCACACCCCCACCACTTGTAAAAGCGACGCGCGCGGCACGTTCGCTCTCAGCCAATTTCCAGTGGTGGGGACCAGACTCGACCAATCAGCGTAGTTTTGTCGTACGCCGCGTCGAATCCCAGTCACGTGATTGGCGACGTGCTTCTTTCTCCGTATAGGTGAAGTCGCGCGCGCGTTATCTCCTTTCTTGCTATCCTCGTCTGTTTCCCGTCCCTTCTGTCCCTGTTTCCGTCGTTCCGTATTGAACCGGCGGTCTCCCTCTTTCTTCTCTTTGTCGGTTTCCTCGTGGGGTGCCGCCGTTCTGCTCTCTCGCACGCGAGGACACGAGCCTGCGATTCTCTAGAGACGAACCTCGTCGCACCTACCGCACTTCTACGAACCTTCGGGATTTACGTTACTTCTCTCGCTACTAGCGAGATACTGTGATCACAGAGCGGGTCATGCAAATACCGTGGGAATAATTATTATTTTTACGATGTACCTTAGGTGCGTATATCGAACCGTAACACGTCTTAGAAAATAATTTTGGAAAATATTCCAACATACGTAACTAAAAGATTTCTTATCTCGCGAGAGATGATCATAATTATTATATTAGGTGTTGGAATTAATTCGTAGCGTTTTACAAGTGATGGGAAGTACTTTCATTAATGTATTTTTTAATGCTCATGTCAAATAAATAACATTCTTTCATTAAAAAACGCTACGAATTAATTCCAACACCTAATATAATAAAATTGATGAATGAATTAGATTATAAACAGCGTATTTTTTCTTGGACAACAGAAAGGCAGTACCAAGAAAAGCCAACGGCATGTAACGAATTGAATGTACAATATTTGCAACATGGTATTCGACAAAATGCGATGATTGCCGTACCATGTCGTCTACAAGAACAACGCTTATCAGGCAGACATCGCAGTACGTATTATTACGTTTGCACAAAGACTAGTTATATCCGGTTTAATCATCTACTATGTAATCGCAAAGCAAATACAAAGTTATTCACGCAAAATCATTTACCATCTATAAAGTTATTATACATCCTGCCACCCCCTGCCTGTCTGCACGAATAAGGACTTCTCGTGGATCGCCCAATTAATTTTTATTTGATAAAGAAATCATTAATAACCCACCAATCTTTCCCAAAGATTAAAATCCGATTTATAATTTAAAGTAACACGCAGATTAGAGTCAAGCATGAGGAGTGGGATATCACGATCCATCACAATATTTGCACGCAACCATTCGCGCGCCGTCCGAACAGTCAACAAAGTTAAGATCCGGCGCGAGATCGATGCGGTCGTATTTCAGGCCGTGCGTATACCGTCACGTATGCGTGTGACGGCCGAGATAAATACGAAGCCGCACGTTTAATCGGTCGCGCCAAGTAGAAAGAGCAATTTCGAAAGGCATATATCGCGGGAGGGAGTACAAGGCACGTGCCGGAGCTACACGCGCGTGCGTCAGCCCGACGTATTCCGCACACGGTGGCACTCGGCTATTTTTGAGGGACGTGATATAAGCTCTGATGACGTTCGCACGACCGGTCGCATACTCACGTCCGCGTTGGAATTACCATCACCGATCGGCGTATGCTAACGCGCCTAGCCGGGGCCAGCCGGTTCTAATGACCTTTGCAGACGCGAGACTAATCGCCAATCCGTGAAAATGTTCCGTCCCATTGTTTCTCGGTCTGTGAGAGCAGCAAAGAGTTACCTCTCGCGCGAACTTATACCAACGACGACATTACGATCCTTGTCGTGGATGAAAATATACAAGAGTTGAGAATGAGCACCTGAAGGATTTATAGATTTAATGAAATATGTTATTAACATCATAGCAATAATCAATGATACATATATTTGTTAAATAAGCATCGTTTTTTTTTTTACTTTAGTGATTAATGGTAAAATGATTAATAAAAAACAACTAAGTAAAATCATCGAAGTCGTAAAAGAGCAATTGAAAATTCCATTGGAAATCACCGACGTCAATCTCCCTGGCAAAGTCCGATCGGCTCCAAAGAGGTTTGGGAAGTCCCAAGGGGGGGGTCCAAGCCGCACGCCATAGAGGGAACCAAAGTCCAGAGTGGGGGTCTTAAAGGCATCGGGCCATCCGACTGTCGGAATTCGATGGTAGGGGTAGTCAGGTTAAAGCGTCACGCGCTGGATCCCCCCACTCGTGTGTTCGCCACTGAATGTCCCCTCCACCGAAAGCGCCGCCACCAGGCATTCCACCGGGTGCCACGCTCCGACGGCACGATAGAAGACGTTCGCCGTTCATCGAGTTAGTCGAGCTCAGACATCAGTCGTGAGCGGTCGTGATTTTAGCGACGTTCAACAGAAGGGACGAGTAGAAGGGTGCATATTCTTTCGTCACGTTTCCTTCGATTCATCGTCGGATTTACGAATTCGTAATATCGCAATTCCTTCAGTACTCTATCGTCCGCGACGATAGGCGGACGAGGAGGGACGTCGAGCACAGCTGATTGTTGGATTACAGTGAAGTGTGATCGATCTCGATTCACAGTGCTATCACGTTTCGATCGGAATTATTTGACTTGGGGAAGTTTTTCCGAGTTCTGTGATACGGAAAATAAATCATGGTGACTGGAGTGGGTGCCACGATGCCGACGGGTGGTGTCACCGTCGGCGCTACTCCACCCGCGCAACACGTGCCCCAGGAGGCTGGTCAGCCTCCTGCGCAAACCACCCCTACTGCCACAACAACCACAAGAAGATCTGGCGAAAATCGACGGGTTAGTGTCTAAATCGAAGATTCTTCGTTACATTTCAACTGCGCGTTGTATTTTCTGTTCAAAGTATCGATCCGGAGCAACGATTCTTTTCTATGATAGAAAAAAACATAGTGACTACTAATATATTGCAAAATTAATTGCTTTTGATAATATTATTTTCTTTTCAAAATGAAGGTGCTGTTATAAATAAATTCGCATATTTATGATGACTGAATTATAAAGTAGAAATAAAGTAGACTTGAAAAAAGTGTCATTTATACTTCGTGCTCCGGATTTATTCTCCTTTAAATACCGGATTTCAGAATAAAATAAATATTACTTATATTTTTGTACAATATTATTTCAAGTTATGCAAAACGCGTCAAGTCGATATAGTGACATACCGAAAATTTCGAATTTATTACGTGACCTATCATTAAATCATTAAACATTGATTAATTATTTCTTAATCGTCGATTTACAATGATTTATATAAATATCATCAATTTATTATTTTCGACATTTAATTTTTTGATGCCACGAAAAAATTGAACATATGATTTTAAAAACGACAAACAAGTAAAGAAAAAAAATATTTTTACAGTAAAATAAAAAGGTATCAAGTGAAATAAAAATGGATACTTTTACTAATTTTATTATTATTTATTCACTTTGTGTTTATTAAAAAATTGCAATTTATTATACAATCTTTAATAGTAGTCTTTGTATAGAAAACCTCGCACAGACGTTCCGTTTTGAAAGACTTTTTTTATCTCATGACACTTTATTCTCGATATTCATTGACATATTTTCTAACTTCGTTTATAATCGATTAACGTTTTTCATACTTTCACGTTTCTATTTATTACTTTTCAATTTCTGTTTACAGAGTAATAAACCCATCATGGAGAAAAGACGTCGAGCCCGTATCAACAACAGCTTGAATGATTTAAAAACTCTCGTTTTGGAATCCATGAAAAAAGACGTAAGTATTATATTTTATCTGCTTCATAGCATATATTTTATGAAATCGACACATAAAAATACACAAAATTAAAAACTATCTTTTTAAATTCTTTAAAGAAATAAAACATAAATTACTTCTAAATTTAAATTAAAACTATAAAATCATTTTATGTGTCAATCTTCTATTTTTTTCTATTTTCAATTTTTATACATATATTGCTTGAGTAATTTGTCTAATCTTTTTATTTCTGTTTTTTGTTACAGCCATCAAGGCACTCGAAGCTCGAGAAAGCTGACATTTTGGAACTAACCGTGAAGCATTTAGAGACCCTACAACGACAGCAAGTCGCTATGGCAGCCGCAGCAGATCCGAACATCCTCAACAAATTCCGCGCCGGTTACACGGAGTGCGCCAGCGAGGTTGGCAAATTTCCCGGTCTAGACGCTTCGGTAAAGAGACGTCTGATGGCCCATTTGGCCTCATGCCTGGGTCCAATCGATGCCAACAACGCCAACAACCAAACAACAACGACGACTCAACAGGCTGTCCAACCAGCGCCGCCGACGACGCAATTGCAAGTGCATATTCTACCTCAACTTGACACACCACGTATTCAAGTCCAACAATCAAATGGCATTTTCTTTACTAATGCCAATGGTACGGCCTTGCATCTATTACCGACCAGATTACCAAATGGTGATATCGCTTTGGTACTTCCGGCGGGAGCGAAGGCGCCAATCACGTCATCGCCATCGTCGTCTCCGGCGCCAAGCTCACCGTTACCACATCTGATCCCGATTCCTCAAAGGACCGCGAGCACCGGTCCAGTGGCGTTTGAGGCACCTCCCACATCATTCCGCGAACAATCCACCACGTACAGCCCAACCAACAGCCATAGGGATGTCGCTACATCCCCGGCGAACGGCTATACCAGTGAACCGGAGCTCGATCCACGTGCCTATAGCAGCCCGCCTCTCCA